TTTCGCTGAAGGGATGATTTCGTGAAAATAAAATCCAGCAAATATACGTTTTTTCCTATATTTTACATTAATCTCATCAAAAATGAGTGAAAATAAATTCCATACAAAACGCCCAAAATGAATTTTCAGCGAAAATTAATTCCAGCGAAAATAAAGTATACCACAGTAATTCATTGCTATCTGCAAAGTGTGTTTACTATGACCATCCCTAAATCTAGAAAGTAATTCACTGCTTGGTAACTCGCTATTTTTTTCTCAGATGGTGACTTCGTGATTGTGAGTGATGCTAACCTCATGAGACGTATATTCATCGATAATGCAGACGTACAAGACGTATTTCAAGTTTCATATGAAGTTACAAAAATTGCTTATGATTGGGTGGATGAATCAGCATTTTGGATCGAGGGGGATACCATAATCAGGGAATGGAGAGTGAATAAAATATATACAGCCGCCTCTTTTGTTAGCTGGAAAACACACAGTGAGAAACTCATTTTTATACTGTCATCCAGTCAAACCTCTATTGGTGACCACCTCTATATAAAGACCATCTACTGTAAAACATGTTTTTTTCACGAGCATGTCTTTTTAGCGAATTTAGTGAGAGAACTGATTTGCTAATGCAAGACGTCGCTAATGACCTAATTATAAATTCAAAATGGCCGAGGCTTGGGCATTTGTATACAGTAATCCGGAACATAAAAATCTGCGGCGCTTCTTAATTACACTTGACAGTTTTTCTTTGTTTTTATGGAGGTGATAACTCTGCATTTGTTTTGGCACGCGACAGACAAGTATTGTGAAAACAGAAAATCAACAATGACAAGTAAGATTCGCTAAATAAAAATTTAGCTATTGCGTCATTTTACCACAATTCGCTAAAATTGCATGTTGCTTTTTCAACATGTTTTACAGTATATTCACCCCTTTTAGGCAGTCCCAAGGCGTAACATAGGAGCAACCTGTGTATAAAGACCACCTGTCTTGTTTAACCACCTAATACACAATACTTATGCAGATTCGCCTTTGTTTAGAGACTAAAATAATAATTAACATTCTATTTATAAAACCATTTTTAAATTGCCCAAGTTGAAGTGGGGGATTCATCACCTGCGCATGCGTCAAATGGCCATAGCGAGTCATTGTTTACAAACAAGGGTCTACCCATGAGCCTTTGCTTTTTTAGCGTGTGTTGTTATCGATGCTTGGGACTCAATTCCCGCACGTGCACAGGTGACGACCCTCTCGCTTTAAATTTATTGGATTTTGATCCACTCAAATAAATGTGTTTTTTTGCGACTGTACAATCTCATTATTTTCTGGACAAATATGTCAAAAAATAGGAGTTAGCAAAATAAAATAAAAATTCTCAATATAAAAATAACCCAAAACAACAATGGTTGCTTTACACAGGTTTCACTGTATTTACTGGTACCTTGTAATTTTGTATGTCTGCACCACCATTGTTTTAGTTTTTGTGTATATATTATTATTTCTAAAATAACAGTTCAATATAGGAATTAATTATTTGTAGGGTTTCATTTTGCTATAGCTAGATGCTAAACAAAACTAAATGAATTTAATACTTAAGTTAAATATAGACTGTTATTGTTTTTTTCACAAACCAATGATGCAACATTTTTTTTATTTGTCCTAACTTGTTAAAAACTCACAAAAATTTGTATGTAGCATGTAGGGTATTTATTATCTTGTCACAATGTTCCTGGCTTATTGCTTTATTTTAACAAATATGATTGTAGTATTGTTTTATTCGGCCACTCATGCCTTAATTATCATTTCATTTTGCCAAAAATGACTCAGATATACCTTTTGCTGATGAATAGTAAAACTGCTCTTTGTTACAGTGCCAATGGATCTCAGTGTTGATTCTCTATCCCGAAATATTTATTGGACGGATGAAGTACGGGGTACCATAGAGGTTGCCAAACTTGATGGCAGTATGCGTAAGGTTTTACTTACAGGGCTGTCTTCACCTTATCCAATTGAAGTAGCTGCTGTTTCAGGGTGAGTCTCACATAATATTAAAAACTAAGGTCATGCTTTGTTGGATATTTGTTGTTTGTGAAATTGTTATAATGCTGGACTTTATAATTGGCTGGAATGTTGCTTTTTTGAAGGGGTGGAATGATTTTGAAAGATCCTAATTTGAAATCAAGACATGAATTAGTTGAGATATTGTAATAGATTGTTGTCAAAAGCTCACATGATAAATTGAGTAACTTCTGTTTCATATTTCACATACTTGACTCTACAGATGGATGTTTTGGGCTGATTTCTTTGATCAAACGATATATCGTGCCTACACAAATGGTGATAATATGGAGACTTTTATCACTGACGTTGGATCAGTCTCAGGAATGGCAATAGATCATGTTGGTAAGACAATTTATATTGTATTTTATAGTCACTTATTCATCGTCAATATATTAATGTAGAATACTTTATTTTCGCTTGGATTTATTTTCGCTGAAGGGATGATTCCGTGAAAATAAAATCCAGCGAATATATTTTTTCCCCCCATATTTCACATTAAACTCATCAAAAATCAGTGAAAATAATTTCCATACAAAACGCCCAAAAAGCCTTTTCAGCGAAAAATAATTCCAGCGAAAGTGTTCTAGAATCTTCATGTAATTAGGTGTTTGTATGCAAGGGATTTTTCCTCACAAAAACGACGAATTAGGCCGAATTTTATTATCGGTTGGCTTAATATAACCCCAACGGACCGTATTTTTGTGAAAGATTGGTATTTTTGTCCTGATTTGTAGGAATCTGAAAGACGTGTTTCACAACTTGTCTCTTATTTAGTTTTATGTGTCATTCAAGATGGCGGCCCCCATATAGTAAATATCGTATTTATTTTATTATCAGGTGTGCGCCAGCTGACTGTGGTTTCAGCCAGCAAACAATGTATTCAAAATGCTGGTTCCTCCATTGGACAGTTTCAGCCAGCAAACAATGTATTCAAAATGCTGGTTCTCAATTGGACAGTTTCAGCCAGCAAACAATGTATTTAAAATGCTGGTTCCCCATTGGACAGTTTCAGTCAGCAAACATTGTATTCAAAGTGCTGGTTTTCAATTGGACAGTTTCAGCCATCAAACAATGTATTCAAAATGCTGGTTCTCAATTGGACAGGTTCAGCCATCAAACAATGTATTCAAAATGCTGGTTCTCCATTGGACAGTTTCAGCCAGCAACAATGTATTCAAAATGCTGGGTTCTCCATTGGACAGTTTCAGCCAGCAAACAATATATTCAAAATGCTGGTTCCCCATTGGACAGTTTCAGCCAGCAAACAATGTATTCAAAATGCTGCTTCCCCATTGAACAGTTTCAGCCAGCAAACGCTGTATTCAAAATGCTGGTTCCTCCATTGGACAGTTTCAGCCAGCAAACAATGTATTCAAAATGCTGGTTCTCAATTGGACAGTTTCAGCCAGCAAACAATGTATTCAAAATGCTGGTTCCCCATTGGACAGTTTCAGCCAACAAACAATGTATTCAAAATGCTGGTTACCCATTTGACAGTTTCAGCCAGCAAACAATGTATTCAAAATGCT